TGTACTCTTTACAGCTGCTTCAAGGATGGTTCATCCTTAGTGTCAGTGCTCTCCCAAATTCCCCAGGGTTTCTGTACTCTTTACAGCTGCTTCAAAGATGGTTCATCTTTAGTGTCAGGGGAGTTGTAATGAAAACTGACCAATACTTTCTCTTAATGTTAAAACACGCCTTACTTGAATAGCCCCACCCAATCAGTTGGTGGGATTTACAGAGTCTTGGATAGAAGAGCCATATTAAGAAATTTCACTCCACCATATCTGTCTCTTGTTATCAGGAGCTACCAGACCTTAGAGGAAGGCATCATATTTGATAGAGGTCACTGAAAAAGAGAAAGACCCTCAATGAGATGGACTGATATAGCAGGTATAACAACAGGCTCAAACATAAGAATGATTATGAGGATGGTGCAGGACAGGCCAAGTGTTTTATTCTGTTGCCTTTAGGATCACTATGAGGCATGCGGCAGGGTTACATCTTCTCATCCTACTTATTCAATCTGTATGCTGAGCAAATCATACAGAAGCTGGGTTATATGAAGAAGAATGTGGCATCAGGATTGGAAAAAGACTTATTATTAACAACTGGCAATATGCAGATGACACCACCTTGCTTGCTGAAAATGAGGAGTACTTGAAGCCCTTGCTGATGACGATCAGGGTTGCAAATTTCAGTATGGATTACAATTCAAGAAAGAAGACCAAAATCTTCACAACTGGACCAATAAGTCACATGATAAATAGAGAAAAGTTTGAAGTTGTCAAGGATTTTGTCTTGCTTGGATTCACAATCAAAGCTCCTGAAAACACCAGTGAAGAGATCAAAGACATATTGCATTTGGTAAAGCTGCTGCACAAGACCTCTTTAGAGTACTGAAAAGGAAGGACGATACTTAAGTTGAACCTGGCCCAAGCCAGTGCCTCATATGCATCAATGGCCTCATGCATGTGAAAGCTGGACAATGAATAAGGATGGCCAAAAAAAGAATTGATGAATTTGAATTATGGTGCTAGAGAAGAATATTGAAAGTACCCGTGAGCACTAAAAGGACAAATCGTTCTGTCATTTTGTCCTTTAATGATCTCTGGCCATACCTGAAGAAGTACAGCCAGAGTGGTCCTTAGAGGCAAAGATAGCAAGGCTTAGTCTTACATACTTTGGACAGGTTGTCAAGAGAGATCAGTCCCTGGACAATGACATCATGTTTGGTGGAGTTGAGGGGCAGCAAAAAGGAGAACGGCTCTCAAGGACACTGATTGACACAGTGGCTACAACAAGGGATTCAAGCACAGGAACAATCATGAAGATAGCCCAGGATTGGGAAGTGTTTCCTTCTGTTGTGTATAAGGTCGCTGTAAGGTGGAACCAATTTGATAGCACGTAAGCCAAATAACAACTTGAGCCAGAATCAAGTCAATTTCACCCCAAAACAATTTAGTCGTATTAAGTACATTGGTATAGCACCAAATAAAGACTTCAAACAGTATCTCTCACAGAGGTCAGTTTCTATTTACATTTTGTTTTCTCAAGATCTTCTCTGATCATTCTATTTAACCATATGTGCTCACCCAAGGTACTCAGTAGCTTAACTGTCTTTTTCAACCTAAAATTACACAGGAAGGGAATTCTCATGTTCAGGGAAAAATTAAATTTAAAAAGAGGAGGAAATTTCCCCAAAACCTTTTTGAAGTCCACTCATATGCATGTTGATTAGTTTTATCTGTCTTGCAAAATGTAGTTCCAAGAGGGCCTTTCTTATTTTGTTCATTGCTATATCGCTGGCACTTACCTGATACTGTGGCAGGTACTTAAGAAATATTCACATATTTGATTAAGAAATCAGTAGAATAACAAATGCTAACTCACACCTTTTATTCATATGCTCAACAAATACTTGTTTTATGCATGGTGCTTTTCACAGTGTGTCTCCTTTGAGATAGAATATTCCATTCCCTTTCTACCTATTCAAAAGTGACACAACTCAAATGCCTAATCCTCCAGATCTCCCCAGATGAAATAGTCTCTTCTTTGAATTGTCATAGTATTTGATCTATGTTTAGATCCAAACAACTATTCTAACTATCGTTATCATTTCTCTTTCTGAAAATGCCCTAGGGGCAAAGTCTGTCTATATCCATTTAATATTTCTTTCTCCATTCCCTCCTCTTCCCACAGTTAGCCAAGTGTTGGGCATGTTTCCCTGGTGAGAAGAGACATACTAGTTCCTCCCCATCTTATTGCATTTCAGCAGCTATATAATGGCCCTGA